CAACAAAGTAAAATGGAAAAAGAACCGAAAGCAAGAGACATGGGCCCGTTTTGCATATGCAAGGTTTGGAACAACTCGATGACCAAGCAGCCAGAGGACTGCTTCACAAAACCATTTCCTCCATGTGACTGCATTTTACCCACTACTACCACTGCTGAACAAGCTTTATGGTATGCTAGTTGATGCTTTATTTCCCAGGAAATCTGAATAAGTTAAAAAAAAGCTAGAGAAATATAGTGGCTTTGGATCAGCACCTCTCCCCTTATTAATGTTTCAGACTTCCTACACTGATAATCTGGTCTTTAGAGGCAACTGCTTTATCCCAGAGGATGCAAACAGTTCTGAGATTGTGTTTTCCAATATAAATAGATGGAAAACTGATGTCATATCCTGTGTATCCAGAAAGTCAAGCAGTCATGTATGTGGCCTGCCAGTTGCCTGACAGCATCAATTTTTACTACCTCCTCAGAAGTGTCAAAGAAAGACAGACAGACAGACAGACAGACAGACAGAAGTTACAAGAATGCCAGTGCTTTCTGGATTATAGTGAAACATCCTTGAAACATTTCACATATTGCTGCTGATCCCAAAGTTAAATAACTTTCTAATTATATAGACTGATTTAGCGGGCAAAAAGACTAATATAGTCTTAGCTTTATAGAAGTACTGGTCCAAAAACAAGCCCTTCCTTCCAAACCATCACAGTCCCCCTAAACTCTTGCTGCTTATGAAATTTTAAATTAACTTTGTTTCCAGCATAATGGCCTTGACCTTTACCTAGTTAGCTGGGGTTATAACCACCCCAATTAAAGTAAATTTATAAACAGTGTTGCTTCTGAGGCCAACAAATCGAGGGCACCATCCTTTGCATGTTTGGAAGAACAAAAGTCCTACAACTCCCAGCATTCCCCAGCCAGGCAGGCTGAACCTTTTTTCTGTATGTACATGCACAGGACTGCGTCCTTAAGCTTTAACACACAACCCATCATTCTAAAATTACCCTGAAACTGACACACATACAAATAGTTTCAACCAGGAAAAACAGTCACCTACAAACAAACCCAGGACACACAGCACAACCAATTCCCACTGTGGAAAATTCCACTATGATGGGAATCAGTAAGAAAATTTTAGGAATAACCTCCCTTCAACAGTCAATATTGCCCTATGCAAACATTCTTTTTTCACAAAATTGTTTACATGCCACAACTGGCTCAGAGAACTTCCACATAAGATGGAGGTACAAAGGACAGAGTGTTCCCCTTGGACCAAGATTCAAAACCCAAGGGTAGCTGATTTTCCCCCACCTGAAATGGTAATTAAGGGTAGTAAAGCTCGTGAACCTTTTCAAAGGTTGATTGAATTAAGGAAACAAGTTGCTCCTTCTTAAGAACACGAACAAACTTATTAAATATACTCTGTATATTTGCAATGTTCTCCAACAGATACTTGGACTCTGGGTTCTAATCCTGACTCCATCAAAATATGGAAGGATGATACTTCCTTCAGTTCCTCATCTGCAAAATGGGGTCCCGATCATGCTGTTCCACATGCAAGAAAGCAGACTGCATGGAACATTTTACAGAACTGAAAAATGCTTTACCAATACTGCGGTCTTATCAGCAATATTTTTACCATTTTCACTCTCAAGACACTATCTATTTCTATCTACATTTCTATCCATGCCTATATTATCTATATCTATCCAAATCTCAGAAGGCAGAAAGGCGCAAATGAACCCACAAACTTTCCATTTCTTAGTCTCTGTTCTAGAATAAGTAAAGAAAGAAGCATTGAAGATCCCCTTCACAGGACTGTAGTGCAAATAAAAATTACAAAACTGTCAAGGACTTTATATGTTATTAACCACACGAAGCTCACTGGGTGAATTTGGGCCAGTCACTGTTTCTCAGCGAAACCTTCGTAGCTTGTAGTGAGGCTAAAATAGAGATGGAGAGGAATAGGTAAGCACCTTGGTTTCCTGACAGAGGAAGAAATGCAGGGTATAACAAACAAACAAAAGGTTCACAGTATTCCCGAAAGCTCCTCAACATGAAAATCACCCTGGACAGGGCCAGAAGGATACATTCCTGGAGGTTACCAATGTTCAAGCTCTTCAATCAGTCAGTTTGATCTCTGTTGAAAGTGTCTTTTAAATGTTGCCACCCCACATAGAGAAATTGTGAATAATTTCCTCCCACAGATGAACCATGGGACTAAAACTAACTTTCCCTTGACAAAATATGGAAGTGCAATTGATAAGAGGCCTGAAAAAGTGGCATATAAGTAGCCAGTGCTTTTTTTGTAAGCAAAAAGGTGCCGGAACTCATGAAATTATTTACCTTTCATATGTAGTCAATCACTGTACACACACCCACACACATCAGTTGTGTAACGAAACATAACGGTTGCCACCCGCAGGAAGCACTCAGCACGTGACCACATGACCAATCACAAGCCAAGCAGCGCCACAAGCTGAGCAGCGCCATCACAACCAGTGTGGACGAAGTACACACGCATCAGATTCGACACACAAGCAGCCCACATGCACTGTTTTAATTATTTTGCTGCCGACCTGCTATGCTCGACAGGGCAGTTCAAATCCACATGGACCAAACATCAAATTTTCAAAAGTTACTTTTAAAACTTGGAAAATCTGTCGAAAAAAGGTTCCGGAACTCCGTTCTGGTGTGTTCTATGACAAAAAAAAAAAGCACTGTAAATAGCAAATATCCTACCGATGTGCCCTAAAAGAACACCACCCAGAGATGCTAGCAGCTTCTGTCATGGTGGGGCTTGAACTGGGGGCAATTCTCCAGCATTTCACACATGCCCTATGAATACAGAAAGTGATCTTAGGCTGGGTCAGGCCACTGGTCCATGTAGCCCAAGACTGCCAACTGAGTAGCAGTGTTTCACACAGGAATTCTGTATATAAAACATGTGCTCTGCCACTAACTCTATTCCAGTCCTGCCCTGAGATGCCTAAAATTTTATTTCAGAAATTTTGCATGCAAAGAAGGTGCTCCACTACTTCCCCAAAACAAACAAGAACCCAGAAACTGGCAACACCAGATCAGGCGATGCCCAACTCTCCCAGTCTCTACTGCATTTTCAAGGTCATAACCACTGCACTGTATGTTACCACCACCCCTGTGGGGAAATATTGGGAGTCACTGCGGCCTAGTTATAGTGCTGACTGGGAGTTATAAGAAGCTGGTTCTGGTTCCCACTCAGCTATGAAATTCACTTGTGACCTTGGGACAGTCATGAACTCTCAGTGTAACCTACCACAAAGGGCTGTTGTGAGGACAAAATGGAGAGGAGGAGGAAGATTATGTAAGCTGTTTGGGTTCCTTGTAGAAAAAAGGTGGGATATAAGGTTAGCAAACAAATAAATAAACCCCTGTCATAATAAACCCTCACAGAACAGCAGTGAGAATTAAGTCAGGGACCCATTGTTTAACTCCTGTCCCACTAAGGCCATCGCTTAGGAGCAGAACTGCTGGCAATTTGAGACAGGGCACTATCCCAAAAAGCCAGGATCCTCCTGGCTCTGGAAAGCGGATGAGCCCAGAGGGTCAGTAACAAGCCACTGTCTCCCGTGTATCTCCCACACCTGCCATACTCCGTTCGTCAGGCCAGCTCGGTGCGTCATCGGCCATCACAACTGCATCACCACATACAATGCGCTTGGCTCAAAGCAGATCATCTCTTTTGCTTGCAGAAGGCAATCTGCAGCTCCTGGCACATCCAGTTGAAAGGACCGCTTGGGAGACCATGGGAAGGACCCCTTGCCAAAAACTGTGGAGGGCCACTGCCCGTCGGTAGCCAATTCTAGCGAGATGAACCAATCACTATTAGTTCAAGTATTTTAACATTTTCAAATATTATCATTCCATTTGAACCAGAATTGCAATGTAGGACATAAGTGACCAGACAACATAATCAATATAGCTACAATTAAGCAAGACATTTCTTCTGCCATATCCTGACAACCATGGAAGCAGCTACACTTCAGTTTCCTGCCTGTACAAATGGATACAGTTAGCAAAAGTAACAATGTGAATGTTATTGCTGTATGGGTTTGACAGATTAATTTCCTACACTACTTTGTATGCAGAGCTGCAATTCTGTGCATGCATTCCTTGGAAGAGCTACATAGAAGCATAGAAACTGAGTCAGAAGGGGTCTCCTGGGCCATCTAGTCTGACCCCCAGCCCCAGCCGGCTCCGCTCATGTCATGCCTATCACTGGTTCCACTGGTCACAGTGGTATTCATTCCTGAATAAGCATGCAACACACCCTTAAGCATGCAACGCATCCAGTGGCTTCCAGACAGCCTCTATAAGGCCATAGGAATTTTTAGATTCCCAGGTATGAGGATGGAAAACAGCTCCTCCTGGGAATCCATGCTTGGATCTCCCTCTCCTCTTGCAGCTGGCTTGGGAAAAGCATACTGCCTGCTTCTCTGCAGCCAGAAAAGTAACCTTAGAGAATATCATTTGGGGGCATTTCAGGGGATGAGGAATTGTAAAGACTGGCACTGCTAAGAAGGAAGTTAAATGTCCAAATAGCATCATGCCTGAACTCAGTGCAGGGCTTCAGTGCCAGCCAACTTACAATTAAACAAAAATATCTTCAGCTATAAAGGAAATTCTTTTTGAAATTCAGTTCCTTCCCCTTCTCACCTGTTTTCTGCTCTACTTGATTTGGTTGCTCTTTTGTTCCCTCCATGCTCTTAAACATATATAATTCATTCACTGTAAGGAGTTCCAGCTCATGAGGAAACTTTTGGCTCCTTCGTATCCACAGAGAATTAGCCATCAAAGTTCCTTAGGACATAATGATCCTGAGTTTGGGACTAATGAAATACAAGTGCTCCCATGGAAAGAACACAGAGTAAACTAATCCTAAATTAAAATTGCTGCTGCAAAAAAAGATGGGTTGAATAAATGGTTACACTATGTTTGTTCTCAACATCTGTGATTGGGAACACTTTGGGTGGGTGGTTGCTTGTGCTTGCATATGGAAGAGGCAAATAAAGAGAAATATTTAAGGAGAAGGGGTAATAGTTGGTAGAATATAAAACATTCAATTCTGTTCCCTTCCTAAACCCTTTAGGAAAGGGTTTATTTGTTTGTTTAAAAAAATCATAATCTCTGACCAGTGATTTCCCAGAAACAGTAAGCATATGAGTGAAAGTGACGCAAGACCCTAACACATGCTCTTTCCATCTGGGATTGGCAACCCACTCAAACATTTCCAATTCCCAAGAACCTCTCTAGTCAGCTACGTGCAAATATGAGGTCCTTGAGTCCAGGAAGGACATGCCTGCCTAAACTATAAATGCATGTCTTTCTGAACACTTGATTATAGCATTCTTGCTATCTGAGACATATCAGTTCTGGTCCTCAGCATTACAGGAAACAAAAAACAATGTTTTAAGTTAGGATGAGAGTATCCGGCCATGGCTTTGGACTCTTGCTACAAATTCTTCAGGAGTAGTGAGTTGATACTATTGCTTTCTTCATCAACTGTATAACATCTTTAGCCCACAAGCTAGAAGCCATGCACCTGCCGGTGAGCCCTGTCAAACTCAACAGGACTTCCTCATTAATAAACACACAAAGAGCCTTGATTTTTTTTTCCAACTGCCATTAAAGTAATCCTGTAAGAGAGCAGTCCTGTGGTCTTTGGAACAATCTTCTATGGACTATAGGATTGCTTGGAAAAAACCTTTCCAGGGTCTGAGCTTGGGTGGGGGAGTCAGAAATGTGACCCTCATCCCTCCCCTGTCCTCAGCTGGCATGGAAAACACCAGTCATTCTCTGAGGTCAGAAAGGCAACTTTGGAGGAGGAGGAAAGGGGGAGGAGACTGAGGAGGGGAGGATATGGGATATCCCGAGTCTCCCCAGCTTCCTTACCCTACCCATGAGGTGAACAGGAAAGCCCATCTGGCAAAACTCACCAAAGGCAGAGGATGGGGAGGTGAGAACCTTCCCACTCAGCTAGCTGCAATCTGGCAAGATACAGGAATTTTGGAAGCCTCAGAACATTTCCAAGCAGTGTGAGCACAATTGATAGGATTGCACCCTAGACTACATATTTTTTGGTTCTGTCAGATTTAGTACTTTTAGCCAAAGGATTGTGCAAAGCAATACAAACAACTGGAGATACATGAGAGTGACAGATACAAATTCCCAAGCATCTCAGTGCCGGATTACTTAAAGAAATAAGACTGACCTACTACTTGCCCATTCAGATGCTACGCACATCAGGAGATACATCTTTGATGGTGCCTGACATTCCAGAGATCCAGTCCTTGATGGCACTTTCTGTAATTCCCTACCACTGGAAATTAGATAGGCAACAACCCTCCCCAGTTTTTTGCACCTACTTGGTTTGCCCACCAAGCATCTCCAGGAAATTAATTGTTTTTCATATATTGTAATAATTCACAATATTTAAGTATAACTGAGTACTGTATTGCTTTGTATATTGCTCAAAAACTTCTATTAATGCATGTGATTCATGAATATCATTAAATATCATTATTTCAAACTGATAACATGCATAATTATGATCCCCCTGCTTCAGACTGCACCCTATGAAACTTTCCATTGAGTTTTCTTTTAAATGAGAAGCAGCCACAACTAGGGGCAGGGAAAAAGTAAGTGGGAGCTTTAACCTGTCCGTGTCAGTCATTTTTCCATCAAACCTACTCCCAACTGCTTTTAATACTGCACGGAAACACATACTATTTTCTGTACCTTTGTCTCTGCATGAAGAAAAGGAGCTGGGGAGGAGAATGGGAACTTGGTGGGAAAACATCAGAAGGAGAAAGAATTAAGCATACCATTACTGGAGAAAGAATTAAGCATATCATTACTGGCCTACCACTTAAAAGAGCATCCTTCTTTAGCTGATTTCAGTTGAAAAACAAAAAGCCCATCCTCAGGGGAAAATCACACAAATATAGGGCCAGGGTACAATTTGTATCCTAAGTGACCATGTTGTACTTGAGTCACTTGCACAAAACTGCACTGAAAAATGTTTGCATTTGTACTAAAATCATGGCTTGCTTAAAAGAAGTGGTCACTATGATACTCAGGTCCCCAGCTAGTTCTGATCACAGTTTAAAACAACCCCCTTGCCAGAATTTTTCAACTACAGGTACAAATGTGCTGTGGCATGAACTTTTTGAAGTGATTACTTCAGCCAAGCAGCCAATGCCAAATGAAAGAAAGCAAACCTGTTTCATTTTCAAAACCATCAACATGAAAGTTAAGTGCTATGCTCAAGGATAAAGGCCCAAGAAAAAGTGCCAACTCTTCATTGCCATACTTTGATCTGATGGAAGCCAACAAATGCCTTGCAAAATGGCATGTATTCTCAGTTGCCTGTCAAAGTGAGACAGACTTATAAACAAAGCACTTACCTTGATAATCTACTGTTCACCACAAGCTGGCATGCAAGGAACATGATGGCCAAGCAAACATGTACTTGGGAATGATGCAACTCTATGTTACTGTGACACATATCCCAGTAAAGTTCTGGCTTTAACCTTTTGGGGCCAGGTTATTTGAAGGACTCTCTTTACCTATACATTCCTGCCCAGCCATATGATCTGCCTCAGTGATCATCCCCTGTACCTATTGCTATAATTACTCAGGTTGGCATGCACAGAAAATAAGGCCCTCTCAGCGATAGTCCCAGAATTTTGGAAATCCCTTCTTATAGCGTTTGATGACCATTCAGCCTGTTTCTAATGATTTCACAATACCTCTCTTTTTCTACATGGTGCATTCATGTGTGTGTGTGTGTGTATACATGATTAAGAGCATGATCCTAAGCAAGCTTAGACAGAAAAAAGACCCACAACTCCCAGTGTACCTGGACATGCTGAGAACTGCAGGAGGCTTTTCTATCATCCAAACTAGGATTGTACCTTAAGTGAACTGTGATCCACAGAAGTTCAGGCTGCATTACATTTGTTAGTCAATAAGGTGCTACAAGACTAGTTGCTGTTTTCACGGTGAGAGATTACCTCTGAGGTTGCTCCCTCACTACAAGGACAGCATCCTCAGGAGTCAGGTTAAATTGCCATCAAAGCTTTTTTTGCCTTACCAAGCCAAGTACCACAGAAACTTTACAAGAAGTCAAAAATCCATATAAATGCCACTGAGCAGCAAAAAGGAACAAAAACACAAGCAGTAAGATCTGAGAAGGAAGCAGAACAGCTACAGAACCCAAAGAATATGAGGGAGATGGTATGGATAATTTAAAAATGTACAGCAGCAACAACAACACACGTATGTTAATGCTTGCAAGTGCCTGAGGAACTTCATAGCCATGACCTAGTTGTCATCCTTACAACAACCATAGTCAGGTAGCAGGGTAAATCATATTTATCCCCCATTTCCCAGATAGTTAGGCATAGAATAGAATAGAATAATAGAAAATATGCACTCCAGCAAGGACCAAAATACGAACACAGGATCCTGGTGGGGACTGATATGTAAGAAATGCAGTGTGAAAGTAAGAACATGAAAACACAATAAGAGCTGTTCTTGATCCAACTGAGGACTCATCTATTTGAGCATCCTCTTCACACAGCAGCCAACCTGCTGTCCCCTGAATCCCATAGCAGGAGACAGGTGCAAGACCACCCTCAGGTCCAATTTCCCCAGCAACTAGTCTACACAGACATACTGCCTTTGAGACCATACATAGCATATAGTCCTCAGGACTAGTAGCCATGGATAGCAATCTGCCCCATGAATTTGTTAAAGCCATCCAAACTGGGGGCCAGCACTATACTTCTAAGTGAATTTGATGAAGATGAGGATGAGGATGATGGTGGTGGGATTAAACTTTCCAACAGGACACTGAAGTCAGAAAACTAGAAGAGCCATGCAAAGGTTGCACACACTGCTCTCGTATTCTTTGCCATCCCTCTTAGGACAAGGGGGAGGCTATCAAAGCAAGCCCAAAGTCTCTAAGGAAAGGCATTTGGGAGGACTTTCCAGTTGGATGGGAAGAAGCGGACAGTTGGAGAGTATCGGTGTGTGACTGTCAAAGTGGGTGAGGCAGTGGTGGGAAAACACGGGATAAGGATGGATAAGTTACTGAAAGCCCTGGGGTGAGGTGAGTGTGGCTGGGTGGAGGACAGCACCAGGCTGGGATGGGGAGATAACACAGCAAGGAGGCTGGAGGGCTCAAGAGCAGTGGGGAAGGCGGACCCCGTGAGAACACAAGTGTAAGTGCATGGGAAGGCCGTGGAGGGGGCGGGGATGCACAGAGGAATGTGAGGTTGAGAAAGGGGGCTGCTGTTGTATGGGGGGACAGTGTCTCTGGTAAGACAAAGGGAGATGGATGCCAGAGTGGGGGACCGGCCCAGAAGAGCAGGGTGGGAGTGTCCGGAAGGGGGCGAGCAAGCCGGAATGACAGCCAGGGAGCCCAAGCGGGTGGGAATGGGGAGGACACGGTCTCGGGGAAAGACAAGTGGGAAAGAGGGTCAAAACGGGGGCGGGGACGGTGTGCTCAGCGGACGCTATAGCCAAGATCTGCAAAGAGGCCATATGGATGGGAAAGGAGTCTTACGAGCGCAAGGCAGAAACTGGGGGACCGAGGGCGTGAAAACTGGGGTCCGGGGACGCTGAGCCAGAAAGGACAGCGGTGCAGAGGAGAATGTCAGAATCGCTTAGGGGGCGTGAGCACTGGGACTGAGATCGGGGGACCGGGCACCTCCGTGGACAGGATAAGGTGCAGCACCCAGGACTGGGGCGGGACGGAGTGCTGAGCGTCCGCGAGGTGTTTTGGCAGGCAGGCAGGCAGGCAAGTAGGCATCTAGCCCGCCGAGCGCTGGAGTCCCCGGGACTCACCTCCAGCAATCGCCGCTTCCCGGTCGGTCAGCCCGCTGGTCCGAGGGAAGAAAGGGAAAGAGGCGCGTCCTCCTGTCCAGCTGCCGAGGCCCCGACTGTGGCTCAGTCCTGCGTGGGGGCGGGGGTGGGAGGAGGGTGGAGGGGGCGCTGCCGAACCTACGCCACGGAACCAACGTAAGGCTAGGGGTGGACTCGCGCGGCGGACTCGCTGCGCCGAGAGGTGGGGGACGCGGAAAGTGGCGCGGCGCGGTCGGGCGCGACAAACCGAGAAATCAGCGTTCGGTCTGCAACACTGTAATCTTGAGCAAGGAAGAGCGGCGGCGGCGGCGGCGCGGGGGGGGGGGGACCAGGGCCCAAGGACTCTGACGTAACCGAGCCAGCCCCGGTGTGTACGCATGCGTTGTGGGGACTGAGTAGTGTCGCTACGGCGTTGTTTCGCTTTGCCGGCGGACAGGGGACAGAGTCTCTTGCTTCGGATTCGCATTTGAGGGCTATGTTATTGCACCGCTGTTACTCCTAACTCGGTGTTATTTTGCTCTCACCCGGCCTCCAGCTTTCCTTATTTCTACGCGTCCGATTTTTCTGGTCCTTTTTTGTATATGCATGGAGAGGAGCGCAGAATAGGACTACTTTATCTCCCCAACGCAACATTAATAGTAATGATGAAAAAAATGCATGCTCCGTTTCTTTCCCTCTCAGTGCCACATTTATTCACCAGAGCAGAAATATTAAAGGGGGGCATATCCCCAGTGGCAAAAAGGGAGAAGATGCTGGGATGTCAAATATCACACGTGCATACGAAGAGGACGGTGTTTCAGGTTCGGACTTCTGGGCCGATGACGTGGGGGTGGTCATTCAGCAAAACGGAAAGAAATGCTCCGAAGTACAGGTGGGCTGGCTTGCTACTTTTTGAGAAAGTAATGGGGAGCGAGGTGGGGGCGGGGGCTAATACCATTAAGTCCAGCATCAAAAGTTACCCAACTACACCACTGATGGAGGGTGTGAAGATATTCACCCTGAATTCTTGTTACTTCATCATACATTTCCTTTCCATGTTGTATAATTCACCCTGGACAAAAGCATTCATGTATTACATAGAATAGTAGAGTTGGAAGGGGCCAAGAAGGTCATTGGGTCCAACCTCCTGCTTCTGCTGATCACCAGTTTACACCATCCCACTCAAATGGCTGTCCAGTATCTCTCCAAATGCCTCTAGTGTGGGAAAGCCCACCCCCTCTCTAGGCAGCTGGTTCCACTGTTGTATTGCTCTGACAGTGAGGAAGCTTCTCCTGATATCTAGCCTAAATCTGGGTTGTCACAGCTTGACTGACTATTCCATGTCCTATACTCTGGTATCAGCAAGAAGAGATCTTGACCTTCCTCTTTGTGACAGCCTTTGAAGTACTTATAGAGGGATATCATGTCCCCTTCTCTCCTCAAGGCTGAACATGCCCAGTTCTTCCAAGTCTCTCTTTATAGGGCAGTGTTGCCAAACCCTGGATCATTTTTGTTGCCCTCCACTGGACCCTTTTCAATTTTTCTTCATCTTCCTTAAATCTTGGTCCCCAGAACTGGACACAGTATTCCAGGTGAGATCTGACTAGTGAGGAGTACAGGGAAATTACAACTTCTCATGATTTGAAAGTAATACTTCTATTAATGCGTCTTATTAATTAAGATGCATTGATGCAATTAATGCATTTGCCCTTTTTACAACTGCATTGCATTGTTGGTTCATATTTAGCCTGTGGTCCACAATAAATCCTAGGTCTTCTTTGGTTCTTTTAAGCCACATATTCCACATATTGTATCAATGCATTTGGTTTCTTTTTCCTAGAAGGAGTTGACATTTGTCCCCACTCAATTTTATTCTGTTGCTTTCAGTCCAGTGCTGGAGTTTGTCATGATTTTTCTGGATTTTCATTCTTTCTTCTATGGTGTTTGCTCTTCCACCCAGTTTTGTATATTCTGCAAATCTGATCATCTTTCCTTGTACTTCCTCATCTAAGTATTAATAAAGATGTTGAGGAGCACTGGGCCTGGAAGTGAGCCCTGCAGCACCCCACTAGTTTCTTCCCTCCAGTTTGAGAAGCTGCCATTGAGGAACACTCATTGTGTCCAATTTAGCAGCCAGTTTCGGATCCACTTCATAGTTTTTCTATCTAGTCCACTTTTTACTAATTCGCTTTTCAGAATGTTGTGGGGCACTATGTTGAAAGCTTTGCTAAAGTCAAGGTAGATTATGTCCACAGTGTTTCCTTTGTCTGTTTGGGAGGTTACCCAGTCTGGCAGAGGGTACCACCTACTGCATATATGTGGAGGGGTAGTGAATAGGCATAGTTTTGGGATATGATACCATCCTGCTGATATATTGGGAACTGATTCAGGGACCAGTACCCTCTACTGCCTATTTGGATTGCAGTGCAATCCATCCAGTTTGGATTAATATATAAGTTCTTTACACCATGTGTAAACTATCAAATGTGCTACCACGAGATGTGATGATGGCCACTAATATGGGCATCTTTAAAAGGGCACTGGAGAAATTCATGGAGGAGAAGGCTAGAAAGGGCTCCGGATTGCATGCTGTCTCCAGTATCAGAGGCAGTATACCACTTGATGGGGAACGTGTGTGGCAGGGAGCTGTTGTATCGATGTTCTACTTGTGGGCTTCCTATGGGCAGCTGATTTACCACTGTGTGAGCAGAATGCTGGATTTTTTCATGACTTAGCAAATAAAATAGTGAGCAAGGCCAACAAGCCAATTGTTTCCATGGCGTGGTTATGGCCAAAAGGTAATTGAAATACACATTTTGGTACACTTCAGAATACACATCCATTTGTAGGAAGGATACCGGAAAGCAAAGGTGATAAAACAGAGAGAGGAATTGCCTGGTTATGTCAACCAGAGGGCTGGACCTCTGTTGGCCAGCTCCTCTCCCTCCCCTGACACTAGCTGATTGAGCAGGACTACCCAGTGCAGTCAAGGAGAAATGGTGGAGGTCTTTGAAAGAGGTGAGAGCTCTGAGCAGGAGTCTGTATATAGGAGGAGTACATACAATACAACAGTCTTTCTTTCTAGACTATGGGTGGACTGATAGAAGCCCTAGTAATACATCCCTTTTTGGAAAGGCGTCTGCATTGCTATATACATAGCTATATACATATGGGCTTGAAAGCTGGAAAGTGAAAATAACTGACAGGAAGAAAATGGATGCATTCAAAACATGGTACTAGAGGAGAGCTTTGGAGAATATTCTGGACCAGCAGAAAGACAAACAATGGGAGCCTGGATCAAATCAAGCAACAACTTTTCCTGGAAAGAAAAATGCCAAAACTAAGGCTGTCACATGTTGGGCACATCATGAGAAGGCAAGACTCAGTGGAGAAGACAGTGCTGGGGAAAGCTGAAGGAAGAAGAGAAGGAAGACCATCTATGAAGTGGTTCAATTCCATACAGGAAGCCACAGCCTTGAGTTTACAAGAGCTGATCAGGATAGGACCCTTTGGAGGGGATCCATTCATAGGGTCTCCATAAGCTGGAGACAACTTGATGGCACATATCAACAACAAACTACTTTGCTTGCAATTAATGTTGCTTGAAAGCTATCATGTTATTTTGAAAATCTATTTATCAGAAATTTGCTCAAAATATTATCTGTTCTTTTGCTGAATTTATTTATTTACTTATTGTTTTTAAGGCATGAAACCATGTTTACTAGTTACCTGTAAAAAACTCCCCCCCTAAAAAAAAAATCCCAAAGGACAAGATTCCATAACTTCCTTAAAAGTGTCTGGTACTTACTACAGAGAAGTATATATCAGACTGTAGCATAAGCAACTTGTTATTTACACACAGGTGTTCTTTAATTTGCTGCAACCAAACTATGCAATATGGCAACATAGTTGAGGGTGAGTCTCCATCCAGTTTCCTCAGAAATGAAAGACTCACATGTGTCATTTTGGGTTTATTTATTGGTGTGTTACATTCCTGCAGTCCAGAATAGCCCAGGAAGGCTGATTGCTACCTCTATAGTTAACTGCACACCCCATGAACCTTTCTTGTGTCCAAATGTATATTCTGAGATATTTACCAAAGTGTATTGTTGTTGGGCTGGAACTCAGAGATCTGGATTCCTGTCCCAGTAACCATGAAGCATATTGGGTAACTTTGGGACAGTCATGGACTCTCAGCCTAGCCAATCCCACAAGGTGTTCGGTGAATAAAAATAGAGAAGATTATGTAAGCCACTATGGGTTTCTTGGAGGGAAATAGGCAGGATATAAGTGTAACCATAAATGAATAATTAATAAACAAAATATGTTCTACTGTGTTTAAGTTTCAGGTAAATATGCCCTCGGTTTGGGCTCTAAACATTCTTTTTTCACTCAGCAGGATGATAAAAAGCCCATTAGTTCTCTTGGGAACACTGTGAGAAAGGTTAATGGTTTCAGTAAATTAGACTATTGTTTACAGCCAGTTACATTTATTATAAACAATGAATTTACTATTCCTAAAAAAGATACAAATTATCAAGCTTTTAGCCATCAGCCTTACCTTCCTACACAATTCAGGCCGAAGGAACATAAACTTGCCTCATGCGTGTGGGCGTGACTTCATAAATAAAAATGCATGCCAATATGTTTGCTGCATCCCTGTTATTTCCATTTCATTATTTCCCAGCACAACCTGTTTATAGTTAAAGATGCATTTGTGCACACCCAGCTATAGTCTTTGCCTTATGTGTGAGTCACTGGAAAGGCTCCCATTGATTTTAGTGGGATGGCAAAGTTGTGTTGAAGATCTGCTTTGGATTATGGTACCAACAGTGGGAGGCACTCACACTTAATGGGCAGCCTGATAAATAGGGAAAAGGTGTCCAGTTTTCTGCCCCACATACTTATTTGTTTAAGAGTACTTACTATGAGGAAAGCCCAGTGAAGTGTTGTGACAGGTTTTGTTGGCTTCTAATACCATTTAGGTGCTTTGCTGGGTGTTGTTAGCTGCTGCCAAGTAGTCTCTGACTTATGGAAACCCTATGAATCACTGCCCTCCAAAATGTCTCTCCTTGTCCAGCCCTTATAAACTCAATGCTGTGGCTTCCCTGATGGAACTGAGCCATCTCATATCTGGCCTTTCTCTTCTTTGGCCTTTGAGTTTCCCTAACTTTATTGTCCTCTCCAGTGAATCTTCCCTTCCCATAATGTACCCAAAGTCCAAC